CCACTGCTGAGTTTTCCAAACTTGCTGGCATATTGAGTGTAGCACCTTAACAGCGTCATCTTTTAAGATTTTAAATAGTTTGACTGGAATACTATCACCTCCACTGGCCTTGTTGTTAGCCATGCTTTCTGAGGCCCACTTTTTCAGTACACAGTACTACTTATTAATTGTCGTAATACACTATCAAGGTAGAAGTCACTATTATCTTTTCATAGGTAGCTTGTATATTTGTAAGTTAGTGTAATACTAACATTTGTTCTGGCAGCAGCTCTCTGATTGTTTTAGCTGACAAAAGCTAAAGATCAGTGTTGGGAACATTGTCAAACTATCTAGTCTTCCATTAATTTCAAGGTATCCAATTTACTATGTTCACAAATATAGGCAGCTTTAAGCTTGCAACTGAACTTTCCTTATATCATCAGACCTACCATGGAGGGTATTATTAAACAAATTAATTCAATTGTAGGTAAACCATGGGCTGCAGAAGCCAAAATGTGGAGAGATTTCTTCTTGTACTCCATACAAAATAAAAACCAACGAGCAGTGAATATTGCATTAAGGTGCTTGTGGCAAAAAAGAAGCAAAACAGACTTGACACAGAAATTGTGCCTTGAAGAAAAAGAAACCATCTAGCTTGTCGAATGCCAAGCATGGCAGGCAAAATGCAGAAACAAGATTCATGTATTAAAAATACCTGCCCACAGGCACAGATTAAGAATTTCAAGGCCTCAAAAATGAAGAGGGAACTAAAACATCTCCATAAGTACATAGAGGGAAGATTTTAAAACATGCTAGAAAACATAAATTTTCCTTGGTTGTTGTGGGGTTTTCGGGCTCTTTGGCCGTGTTCTGAAGGTTGCTCTTCCTAACGTTTCGCCAGTCTCTGTGGCCGGCATCTTCAGAGAACAGCACTTTTTCTTGTTTTTCTTGTAAATTTTCCTTGTTCATTATTTTGTCTCCTCAAGAGAACCAGTGTAATATGGCAAATGTTCACGGGATTCAGAGCAAAAGTCACGAGCAGTCTTGACTGCAGTACTGCAGTTTAACAGCTGCTCTTTGAGGCTGCATGGCTATTGAATACAGTGGACCCTCTACTTAAGGAATTAATCCGTATTGGAATGGTGGCTGCAAGTCGAAAAGTCTGTAAATTAAATCTCCATTGACCTACAATGCACTGAAAACTGATTAATCCCATAACCAGTGGTTTTTATTCTATTTTTATTCCATTTTGGTTTTTTTCTGGTCTGTAAGTTGATTCTCTGGCTGCAAGTCGAATCTAAATTTTGCAGCCAGAGAAGTCTGTAAGTCGAAAAGTCTGTAAGTCGAGCCGTCTGTAAGTCGAGGGTCCACTGTACTGTACATAATTTCTCTTCCTCCAACAAAGGCTTTAATAAGAGGATTCCTGTGCCTTCAGATGCTCCACCCCTGCTAGTGGGACTGCCTTGTAAAGGAATAATGTAGACAATATATGGTAACCTAATCCATTCAAGGCAACAGCTGCCACAGCTTCTCATTATTGTAATTAAATTAATTACTTTAAGTTAAATTAATTGTGTAATTATTGTTATTAACTAAATTCTTAAGGTTCTTTGTGTAGATCATAACTAAGGCTCTCTAGTGGTTGTTAAACTACAGATCCCTCCATTGCTTAGCGGCTTTCTGACAAAGGCCAATGGAAGTTGCAGTCTTAAAATATCTGGAGAAGCACATATTCCCCATGCATCTTAGATACAAGTGGCTCTCATGGGCCAAGGGGTGCAGGGTAAAACAAGGGTCCCTAGTGCCTTAAATATTAACAAAAGGAGAGATGGGTTTTATCTTGGCACAACTCCACTGGAATAACCAGAATGATACCAATATAGTGTCCAGATAAATTTCATTGTTACTTGATACCCTAGATAATAATATTGTTAAACAATCTCCTGTCTAAAGCAAAATGATTCTCAACTCACCACACCAATTGACTTTCCAGTTACGGTTGGCATCTACACCATGGCAGTGGAACCTTGAATTCTTTGACCTCGTTTTTCTCCAAAATCGATCCTATCCATAGATTTTTAACAGCATTAACGTACGACACATATACAGCATCCATATTATAAACATGGAACATATGCACACAATAGACCGTTGTCTCAACCTCCATGAGGTTTACATGTTTAGTTTAAAAATTCATATATTCTTAAACACTTGACCAGTGATGTAAATAAAAACCTGAGGCATGCTAATTCATACTTTAATGTCAGAAAAATTACTTACATGGGTCCAGCTAAAATGATATCCATCCACATTAAAAATAGGCATGATGTAGAAATACAGTTGATTTAGCATTCTTCTCATGGCTGGGTCACTTTGATATGTGTGGAGAGCCTACAAATGGATATAAACTGGTGGAAGTAATGTTTGTAACTTAAAAAAAACACAATTTGTTGTTAATCATATATAACCTACAGGAGCACTCTGTCCCCTTAGTCCAACGTATGGCCCTCCAAATATTAAATTTTGGCAACCCAAAAGTTTTTTTAAAAATATACATTTATATATTATTTTACAACTCTGGGGCTGTTCGTACTGGCATATAGATATATGGACTGCTGATGGCACAGTTTGGATTTTTTAAAAAAAAGACCTTGTCAGATAGTGTTTCTACTTAGAAGGATCCATTATTCCTCTTTAAAAGCTGTCTCACACCTTTCTGGCCCAGTGGTAGGGTATGCTTTCCTTTTGGCATGCTATTTGTTTATCCTATTTAGCTAGCAGCCCCCAGCAGCCTCAGCTTCCAATTGTCATCATGGCTGCAGATTCCAAAGGAGAGTGAGGGAGAGAAAATGGGGGGTGGGGGGAGGAAGAAAAGGAAGCAGGGAAGGGAGAAGGGAGAAAACAGAATGGAACTGAAAGAAGGAGAGAGGGGTGATGTAAAAAATTTTCCACTTCTCCTGACCCTCCACAGATGATTAGGGGAAGCACTTAATTGACAGGTGGTTGGTTTGCAAGGGGTTTGTTTGCTGTTCAGATGAGAGGAGCACGCCAAATGGCATCTTGCTCTCCACCCCTGCAAACTCAACAGACCCTTTATAGCCTGATCCACCCCACACCCAATGGCCAGTCTGGACAGGCTGTAAATTTATTTTATAGTTTTATCTGATTTTATCTGAGCTGTCTTGATTCCCCTATGGGGAGAAAGGCAGAAAACAAACAAAAATGCTGAGATGCTGAACCAACAGAACCAATAAGTACACACTCCCCCCTGTCCGGTTCAATCAAGGTGACCAAAATTGTCTCTGTAACCAAGCCTGAAGCCATATTGGAATGGATCTAGATAATCTGAATCATCCAGGAGCCTTTGGAGCAGGGATGTCATCACATGCTCCAAAATCCTGCCCCAAACTGGAATATTGGAGACTGGCTGATCATTATCCAATACAGTGGCATTCAAGGAGGACTTTTTGAACAAAGGTCTTACTATTGCCTTCTTTAGGCATGCTGATATCCTGTCTTGCTGCAAGAAGGCATTCACCACTCCTCTAAATTACTGGGCCAGCACTCTGGCTGCTTTTATAAGCCAGGAAGGGCAAGGATCCAGCATATATGTGGTGGCTTTCCTCTCTCCAAAGATCCTGTCCACACCCTCAGGCTGCGCCAGTTAAAATGTATCCTTTATAACAGGGGCAAAGTTATATCAACAGAACATATTTCAACTACTGTACGGTATCTAGGTTAGAGCGCATCGAAGTGACTTTCTCTACAGAGTGATGTGCAAAATCTTCACAACAGGCTGTTGATTGGTCAGCATCCTCCTCTTGTGGCCATATATGCAACAGGCCCTTGACCATCCCAAAAAGCTCCACTGGATGGTTCTGTGGAGATGCAATGATGGCAAAGAAGAATTGCTTTTTTGCTGCCACCACTGCCATGGAGTAGGTTTTCCAATGAGCTCTGGCCCGTATTCAATTAGATCTGCTCCACGTTTTCTGCCATCATATTCTAGTCCCACTCATTTCATCATCCCCAGCTCCCTAGTAAACAAAGCACCTAATTTGACTGCAATCTGTGGGAGGGGACACTTGGGAGCAATTGTGTCAATAGCTCTGGCCACCTCTGCATTTCAGAGATCTGCCAAGGCTTTGACAGGATCACCTGCCAAGACAGCTATCAAGAAACCATGTACAAGAGCCATTGTAGATCCCTAGGGCAGACCATTTTAATTGGCCCCCAACCCCTACAGAAACTCCAAGTTCTAATAAGCCTAAACCCTACCAGACAGTGATCTGACATGACAATGGAACTACTGAGAGTTATTCCACACCCAGATCATCATCATCCTGCCCAGCACAGAAAACCAGGTCAAAAGTGTGCCTTGCAGCATGAGCTTGGCCAGATATCATTAAGGACAGTCCCATGGTTATCATGGTAGACATGAAGTCCTGATACGCTTCTGACAAACATCCATAAGGATGTTGAGTCCCCCAGCACAACAGGCTGAGGTGACTGCAGCATCACACCCAAGACCAGATCAGCCAGTAACTTTGTTAAAATAAATAATAGGTCTCATTATGAATTTATTCAGGGGAAATGTTTCATTTTTATGGTTCACCACAGTTAAGTGCAAGTTGCTGAAATTTTTATAATGCATCCAGAAAAGGGGTGGAAGCTGATCTTTTAAATTTAACTATGGGTCTCATTAATGAAGGGAAAAAAATAGAAATAAAAAACAGAATTATGGGTTGTGTATGAAGTATTATAAATTATGAAGAAATATTATGGGAGTGAAGAAATTATTATAAGGAATACTATTAAATATAAAATAAATTTTAAAATGTACAGTCACCTGATAACCCAGTATTATGCTTCCTGGAAAAAGGAGAAAAACTGAACAGGAGTGCTTTGCATTTCAGGAGTCATGGACAAACTATTAGTTCTTTGCTAAATTCTACAGCAAACTAGTTTGTCTGATTTTGAGTGAATATAGGGCCTTGCCAAAAAACAAAAACAAAAAATCAGCACAACTTAAGAAATATTATAGTGCAAAGTATGGCAGCTGTCAAGATTATCAAATATAGGCACAGTTAAACAGAGTCTCCCAAGGGGAAAAAAAACTGATACTGCAGCAACACCTTTGACCTTTACAAATGTAAACATGCATCATAGTGACATTTTCATTACATTTTTATGAATTTTCACACGCACACGCACACATACACACACACAAAATATCCACATAGGCCCCATTGCTTAGGGTCCTCCTACTTATGCTCCACCCATTTTGGGAGTGCTGGCCAAGCTGAAAATTGACCCTGGAGACCTACAAACTTATCTTATGCTCTCTCTCCGTACTCTCCAATACCCTCTGGAGACCTTGGAGATAGCCTACTCTTTTTTTCATGGCATAGTAGAATATTTTTGTTCTTATAATTTCCATTTGCAAGTAAAATATGGCAAGCAACATTAAAATTTTAACAGATTCAGAGGTGTCTGCACCGAACTGATTAATAATTTCATAGTAATCCAATTTGGGGATTGTTATTTCAATATTCCCTCTGCATGAGGAAGCTGCTGCAGTAATGCTTCTCTTTATCACCAACAACACATTTATCAAATTGTTCTTGAATTGGTAATTGGCCCTCTGTAGAATTCAATTCAGCTGTAACTTCTCAAATGTACTACAGATGAAACAATGCCTCATTGTGGTGACATGAAGGTATTGCATTTCATATTTGAAGAACGCACAAAGCAAATTAAATTGTTATCCATATTCGGTATTTGTGTACTTATTACAATTTTATCTCTCCTTCCTTTTTCAAGGAGGTAAAGAGGCATACAAAGCATCTTCCTCTTATATCTGATCCTCACATCATCCCTGTGGGGTAGGTAAGGAATACAAGACAAATGACTGACTCTTGGTTGCCTACTATCATGACTGTGTGAGCATTTTTACCTAGGTATCTCCAATCCTAGTTTAATGCTCCACATCAATGGTTCCCACCCTTGGGTACTCCAGGTGCTTTTGAACTACAACTCCCAGAAACCACAGCCAGCACAGCTGGTGGTGAAGGCTTCTGGGAATTACTGTCCAAGAACACCTGGGTTACCCAAGGTTGGGAACCATTGCTCTAAATAATATATATGCCTGGAATGAACAAGAAAGTCAGCAAGTCCAATTCCTCCCCTATGGGCAGAATCCCCAGACATAAGCACACCATAGAATTACATCTACAATCTATCTTACTAAACAGCATCAGTAAAAACAGTGTGCCAGTCTGGCAATATAACAATATAAGACCTTTGGGCAACTTAAGTCATATGAGTTGAGCTACTCCCTCCCTAGTGAACTGGAACTCAACACCAAATATTTTCCAAATTTCTGTGCACATAATAGTTTGCATATAATTCTAATGGATTGGTGCCTAGAATGGATGCTAAATTTGAATTATGCAGTGCCGAACATTACATCAACTGGATATATCTGGAAGTTGAGTCATGGCAACTGGACTTCTTTCTTATCAGGTTGAAATGTTTTACTACCCATCCAAGTAGCTTCTTCAGTCTGCAGAGAGTTGGTAGCAGATTCCCGATATATCCTCCATGTTGGTTTCACTTCTCCCTGGTCTGAATAGGCTTGTTAGATGGACAAAGGATGGGGGGGTGAATGAAAATCCCACCTCTGCAGTCCTTCTCCACCCATTGTCATGGGTTGTTAACAGTCATTAGCAGTGGCTTTTCTGGTGGGTGTTGTCCTGATCTTTCTGGGGTTGGATGAAAGGGCACATATGTACACACACAGACATGGGGCGGTTAAAAAGGCCAGGCAGCCCAGATGTGGTCTGCGGGCCATACTTTGGAGACCCCTGATCTAGTGGAAAGGTTTTGCGAAATTTGTTCCATTATACTTCCAAAATTGTGTAAGGAAAGCAATGCTTACTTCTTTCACAAACCACTGGCAAAAGGCTGGGCCGATCCATTCTCTTGCATGAATTCCACAGTCTATCCAGACAGCTTTCTTGTAACCTGCTGATCTTTTGCCTAGCTGCAGTGGTAAAGGTATATTAGTCAGCATGAGAAGCAGAGGCAGAAATTAATGAACCATGAAGATTTGAAGCCACCTGTTACAAAGGACTAGCATCAACCTCTTAGAAATCTCTAATTTCTTTCTATTGGATCATCTGACTCTTCCCCTCCCCCATCAATTATCTCCAATAATTTTGAAATGATTTTAGCATGGCACTACAGAAGGATGATGTTGGAAAAGAAAAGAATGATTAAGTGACTTGAATCATGGTCTTGCTCTCTTGCAAACTATAAACTGATTTTGTACCATATACTCCATAATACTACCCAGTAAATATCCAAAGAAATACATATCTGTAATTTCTACTAAACTTGTTCTGGAACTAATCCAAAGAAATAAAACATACTGGTTGCCAGAACTGAAAACAAGAAAGGAAGCTTAAATATGATACTCAGACTGAGAAATGTTTCTTAGCGCAACCACTGAATGGTTGTGATGTGTGAAAAAAATATGGACTCTGCTCAGCAGAAAAGTTCATGTTTTACACGAACCAAGTCCTGGCAGAATTTAAGTTGAAGATGCCAATAGACTAGAGAGTACAAGGGTTAAGGAAAGGGTGACTAGGATACCACTAATATTTCATCGAAGATGGAAAGAACATTCTTAGAAAAACTTTTACCATGCTTGGTCTAATTTTAGCCTTGACATAGTGCAATGGCACACAGCTACTAAATCGACAAAGCTTGGAAAAGTTACTTTTAAAACCACAATCCCCAGAACCTTAATCAACATGGCCATGGCTGGGGGATCCCAGGAGTTGTAATTCACAAAGTTACTTTCCCACATTCTGTGTACAAGCAAGAGTCGACAAAATTCTGAAAAGAATCATTAAGTAGTTCTTCATGTCAACATCAGCAGTTGACAATAAAGCTAACATTTAAATGGGTCTACCTGGCTTTGACAGTACTTTTATGGAAAACAGAAGATTGCATATTTGATACTCTTCATAGGTAATAAATATGTCTAGGAAGATTTCTCTAGTCATTTCTAATGATGACTCCAGTAATATCTGATCAATTATAATTTACCTTTAACACAAAAAGTGGTCTTCCTTCATATGACTTGCCAACACAGAACATATGAACAAGATCTGAACGAGTTTTGTTCAGGTGATACATCCAATTTTGAATCTAAAATAAGAATTAGGACTTGTGAATTCATAGGAATAATTTTCCTTTTGCATTAAAATCAAATATGTCAAAGGAAATAACTAGCACACTATGCCTTAGAGAGTTGTTACTATTGAAAGTAGCTCAAATTTTAACACATTGAAGACAGCTTTTGTTGGTGTTTGATTATAACATGGTATAACCTATAATTTGCAGAACAGGCACACAGCAGCTTGAAGTGTATAGATAAAAAACACTTTTCTAAATAATTGAATTGGGCGTTCTCCCTTATGTGTGTTTTGTGCCAGCAATTGATCAAATAATCAGTTTTGCTTTTGGTTAAAACATTAATTAACTTTCATGCTTAAAAACATAAGAAAAATACAACATAACTGATAGTATTTAGGTATTTGGTATGACAGATGTATTTTCTCTAGTAAATAAGTAACATTCTTATGGTTACACTATTATGTCTGTAAGTCTTAACTGGACCTATAAACCTTGTCAGTTACATCTTTCTTTGTCACTGAAACCTATTACATGTTTGTACATTGTCCTATGCTGAGCCATATGTTGTCCTCAGTCCCTATCTATTACATGTTTAACCATGTCTGAGGTCTTTTACATATTTGGTTTTGTCCCTGTCACGTATTGGACCCTGACTGACTTATAACTGACACCTGCCATATATAGCAGCCTGGCTGACTCCAAACACATTCTGATTGGTCTGTATCCTATGCTATGCAAATACAACATTCTGGTCTATCATAGCAAACACATTAAAACATACTGATACACATATACATATTCTGTGCTGTATAAATATATATACCAACAACCTTTTGCTGAAAAAGTCTCATTGTACAGTACTGTCTAGGGAGTATAAGGGCAATCCTGCCATGTTTTATGGGGTTCCCAATACCCTCATGCAGAGGTCGTCAACCCCCAGTCCGCGGCCCGGTGCAGGTCTGTAGCCTGAGCCGCACTGGGCCACGAAGACAGACCTCCCGCACACACTCCCCCCCCACAGCTGCTTTGCGCATGTGTGCCAGCACTGGTGTGAGTGCTCCCTCACCCCTTCATGCATGCGCCCAAGTGCCCACACGAAGAAGTGGGGTGTGTGCACGTGCAGGCGCTCCAGCACATGTGTGAAGGGGTGGAGGAGCAATCGCACACTGGCATGCGCATGTGCTCCCCACTGCTTCACGCATGTGTCCAAGAGAGAGCACTCCTTCACACGTGCAGACAAGCGCAGGGGGGTGCCCTGCCTTTCTCAGCTGGTCCGCAGTCCCGAAAAGGTTCGGGACCGCTGCCCTAGAGTACCCAAACCCTTCATGTTTTTGGTCATTAAAGGGTGCAAGGTTAATTTGTCTTTTAAAAATATTTTTAAAAGACTTTCTTATCTTATGTATCTTTTAAAACCTTATTATAAGGAGTCTTGCAAAATAACAATGATTTAATTGTGCTATTTCCCTGCCATCTTCTTATTTGGTTATAAGAACATCCATCTGCAAATACATAAGATACCATTTTAATGTTGCATACCTCTTCCAATGAATGATATATTTCATAACTATATCCTGATAATGATCTACGATTCCTGGATGACCTTGAACCACTTTGCTTTTCCACTGCCTTTTGCAGATCAGATATGAGGACTCTGTATCAAAAGAAAGGAACCTGAATAAATGCATAGCATATGGTAGTGGTGGGATGAGCGCCGCCCCCTAGAGTCGGACACGACTGGACAAAAATTGTCAAGGGGAACCTTTACCTTTTTTTATATGGTAGTGTATTAAAAGGCAAAGAGAAAAACACATAAAAATCAGTGTCATCCACTTTATTAAAATGTATAGCTACCAGTCAACCAGGTTAAATTAACTAACATTGGTTCATAATTATTTAAGCAATTTACATTTTTAACATCTGAAAAAAATTAATCTTGGAGTCTTTATAAAATAAAATAAAAAAACCAAATGGGCCTCAACATAATAATTTGTCACATTTTATCCACAAGAACTAACTTTGATGAAATCTAATAAATTTTGCCAATAGCTAGGTCACAAGATTTGACATAGAGATACATTATGCTTTATAATGTAAACCATGACAGCAGCACAATGTTAAAAAAATGCAGAACCATTTCTATTTCATGCTGACTGTAGAAACAAATTTTAAGGATTGTGATATACTCTACTGAATATTTTTTTTAATATTTGGGACATACCAGCAGCATATTAGTAGCCCAAAAGAAGCTGTAAGAAATAGCTTAATAAAACCCAGCTTCACTTCTTATGTTAAAAAATGACATGTCTTCAAGAACTACACAAAAATATTTGAGTATGTATTGGTAACATCAGTTAAAGACCCAACAAACAAAAGCAAACAGCAAAAAACCAAAAACAGATTAGTATGTATTTCAGTTAGGTCTGAACACAAACTGGCAGGCAATCACCTGTTTCTGTAATTAGTATTCTGTGATATTTACTAGCCGACAGGCATTGAAGCTTTGCACCTTTTTTCTTAGCATAAGAAAAATAAGGTTCAAGTGAATATATATATATATGTCATATTCTGTGATCTATGGATGCTTCCAGATGGAGAACTTCTAGTATTACAGATCAAAAGGGGTTGTGCTTCTACTATTTCTGAACTTAAGAGATTTTCTTTGAAAAGAAAAAAGACAGCAAAAGTAGTGAGAAAACATGGGACGGTTACAAGGAGAAGTCCAGGTCATCTGGATTCCACATAAAATTTCTGAGAATATGGCAGAAGAACTGCACACATTAAAAGCTCCATCTGGAATACTCTGTTCAAAACCATCTGCTGTATTTTACAAGAAAAGGAGTTTGTAATAGATGGCATATCTCATGCAATGCACCTCAAAGTATACAAATCCTGAATAAGGTAAGGTCATTTGCTCAACCTAATTTCATTAACATACAGATTCTTGTCCTTAAAGTCGGACAATCAGACAAATGCTGGTTATTTTATTTTTTAAATGTTGTTTAAAAAATATGATGTGAAGTGAAATTCCCTACTAAGTAATGAGAAAGCTATCGGCATACATAATAGTACTGGAACAATGTTCTACATGGTCTGTCTGATGAGACGAGTGTATCTTGCCATACCATGGCATGTGGTGTCTTGTATCTGCAGCATTCTTACATAAAAACGCTCAAATACAAATCAAGCAGGTGACAGAACTAGTAGCAATAATTATCCTTTTTCTGAGAAACAAAGCAAGCCTCCATGTGCTGGGAAAACTATTCTCCATTTGAAAGGAACATATTTAATTAAAGCATCTGCCTGGTAGAGGATGTGCCTGCTTTCATTCAAACAATCATTTTGCAGATAGTTCTGAGCACACTTTATCTACTATAATTAAAAAGGCACAATAATACACCGAATGTATCTTCAGACAAGACCAATGGAACAGACTGAAACCAGCGTACAATATTCCAGGTGGGCTTTCAAAAACTGAATTTCATGCTTACTTATAATGGATGTTTGCTTGTTGTAGGCAGGACAGAAGAATTTGTGAATTGTTCCTCGTCACCCGTACATCTGTAATGGCATTCTTGGAGATGTAGGAAATACTGCCAGGCTGCCACAGATCCACCTGTAGTGCAGGAACCAACCTGTAATTCATATTTATTCAGTCTAGATTGGAAACATGCATGAGTTTAAGATATCAAAGTCATATTCTACTGTACTGTAATAACATGGGAAAGAGAATCCCTTTATCATTAGTGAGCAATGCGTGGGCAGTTACTGCAACATAAAAAAAAACATTAGGATCGTACTCCATTTTTAGTTTTTAAAATTAATCCTCCGATAAAGAAAGTAGAATTATTTTAGCTCAGTCCTTTGTTCTATCACAATGAAAGCACAGTGATGCCAAAATGTGTCATGTGAGTAAAAGCTGCAAAATGGGATCACTTTCTTTCTGCTTAGTTTGAGCCCGCATATTCTTGTGGTCCTTGTACCTTTAAGTAGATTCATAGTGCAGAGTACATTTCAATGGATTCTGTGTACCTCCCAGATGTGTCATGATTGCAGCCTTCTTTGGAGTTTGTGACTGCATAATAGAAGAGGAGACTGGATTCCAGCCTTAGGCTCTGAAGATGTTTATACTGTATGCTTCCTTTGAATCACATCCATAGGGCACATTAGTATATTGCTTTATTGAATGGGCGCCCATAAATTAAATCTTTAAAAAAATTAAGATTACCCTTACTTGCCACATGGCTACTATAAGTCAAACCTCTTGGCGCAGTGGTTAAACCACTGTACTGCAGCCAAAACTGTGCTCACGACCTGGGGTTAAATCCCAGGTAGCCTGCTCACGGTTGACTCAGCCTTCTATCCTTCCGAGGTTGGTAAAATGAGTACCCAGCTTGCTAGGGAGGCAATGTGTAGCCTGCATAATTAATTTGTAAACTGCCCAGAGAGTGCTTGAAGAACTATGGGGCGGTCTATAAGCAGCACACTTTGCTTTTAAAAAAAAAAGCATTCTCTGTTTTCAGTCTCCTATAAACTTCCCATGATTGCTTCAAAGAATTACATAGTCTGCCAAAATTATATCAGATGTAGTCAGTAACTGCTGCTTTCAGGCTTTATTTTGACCAGGCCACAGAATAATGCAAAAGCATTTCAGCTGCATCAACACATTCCATACAAATATGTTTTGCAAGGTTTGTAAGTATGTAATAAAAAGATGGTGCAATATGTAATACATTTTAAACGAAGAAGGCACATCAAAAGTAAACCAGGCTTTTGTATTCTTCCTTACTTAAAAATAACAAACAAATTACTTGCGCAAGAAAGCTAAGTTGGTATTCTCTTATATTGCTCCTTTTGTGGAGTTGAGTACAGGCAGCATTTTAGGGCAATTAACTTGGCTGCATAAATATAAATCATTGCACGAAGGACATAGATGTGCTGAACAATATACTTCAGTAGATTGGTTTGATACATGTCTTCAAAACACAGAGATGTCAAAGGTTACACAGAGGACATATTAATTAACGCAAACCATTCATGAGCTTCCACTTACAGTATTTAGGAATAAGCAAGTTCATTCTTGAAATGATTGTCAACTCTGTTACACTGGCTTCAAATGCATTTGCTTTTTCCCTTGAGGAATGAAGGTTGGTAATATGACAAGACAATTTATATTGACAATGCAAGTCAGAAATGCTCCATAAGTGCTGCTTAAAACATGTCTCAGGTTTACCTGGAAGGCTAGCATAAAACACTACATAATTAAAGTCACTTGTATGTAATTGCTGAACTGCAGCTCTTTTGCTTATCACCTTTCCTCTGCTGACAGTCTTGCCATGGCAGAAATATGTGGTTCTTTTACATGGTGTTTTGGGACAGCTGAACGGCTATCAGATCATGTCCTTATTAGACTGCATCTGTTTCGAACACCTAAATGGATTAGTGAAAAGGTCATGGGTGGAGGTTGTGCATATGCTGTCCTCATTTAAATGCAGAAATTTAGTCATGAGACATATGAATGCACCTAAGAGCTTCCCATGGCTTTCCTGTTTTGTACAATTATAATCATGCCACTGCCAGCTGGATGACTGATACTCATACAGAGCTCAAGAAACTACCAAGCTGTTTTTGTTTATTTTGAGGACTGACTTTCTCTTTCTTTTGTACATGACACGTAGCAGGTGCTGCATTTATCTTTCATTAAAACTGAAAAAAAATCTGAGCAGAGGAACCATAGATGCAGGGTAGAGCACATGTTTTGCTGAATAATTTCCAGTTAAATCTTGTGCATCTTGAGTTAAAAGAATGTGGTAGTAGAGAAATGAAAAGCCTCTGCCACAGCCCTTGCCAGGTAAGGTAGCCAACAATGGGCTAGAGATCATGGGTGGCCAAACTGCAGCTCTCCAAATGTTGTTTAACTACTACCTTTGCCAGCTGGAGCTGCAGTCCAACCAAGTCTTGAGAGCCACATTTTGCCTACCCTGGAGCCAGATGAATAGATAAATGAGCTGCTTTAGTATAATACTCTGAACAATCACATGTCACTAATAAACAGAAATCTATACTTAATCTGATTGACCTAAAGCCTGTTAATCTGACAAACTCCTGCTCTTCTAGTCTCATTAGACAGCATATTGGTCAAAACCACAAGACCCCCTGATGACAGGCAGGTGATGTCACTCATCCCATGACACAATCCCCAACAATGCAAAGGACCAGCTCACCTGAAGCTGTTGAGAAAGGATCTTCAGAGTTTCTGCTTCTTTGTCATTCTCTGGAACAACCCGTATCACTTTGTCCCTATTAAACAACATTGTAATGCAAATTTAGAAAGTTTTTCCCAACAAGGAAAAAAGAATAACAAAAACAAAACTGCTGTCTTGAGACAGTAAAAAAAAAATACCACAATATACTTTAGATCAATGGTTCCCAATCTTGAGTAACCCAAGTGTTCCTGGACTGCAAATCCCAGCCAGCATAGCTAGTGGGGAATGCTTCTGGGAGTTCTGGGAGTCCAAGAACACCTAGTTTAGTCAAGGTTGGGAATTACATATGTAGATAATAGAGATACAGTACTTCCATTTGGCATGTATTCATTCATTCCTTCATTCATTCCTTCATTCCATTGGGCATGTATTCATTCATTCCTTCCTTCATTCCTTCCTTCCTTCATTCTACTGCAACATCCAAACACTTATGGCAAACAGTGGCTAAATCCAGTTGTTAAGCTCTACTATGATGGATTTTACAAGTTATTTTCACATATCATCCTAGTACTGTAATGTACCTCATTTACACTATACCAAAAATTTGCTTTAACAACAGATTTACAACAGCTAGGGAAGAAAGGTTCCTGTTGGTAGCTCATGAGCAATTAATATCTAACATAATTAAAATATATATGAATACTGTATAGCAATCATGAAATATTTTGTAACTCAGTTAGCAGGATTTTTTTTATGCACATATGAAAAGTATGAGAATTCTGTTATATGGAGATGCTTTACTAACTACCGCCATTGTAAACCCATTCCAGGTTAACTTCAGATTTACTTGTCTAAAGCCCAGGTGGGAAATATTCTTGAGCTGTGAAATGTCAGACAGAGCATTCAGTCAAAATATCATCAGCTGGAAGTGGTTCCTTGGAAGTACAGTATGAGTTTGTAATGTGTGATGACAGCCCAGGCTTAATCCAGGAGTCTGAAAAAGGTGTTTATTCACCAACACCTTTTTTTTAAAAAAATCCTCTGACAACTCATCAAACACACCCAGAGTTCTGATCCTCTCTGGGTTTTCTACTTCTACCCTTTATCTTGGGTCCAAACCATTACAGTGTCTTTCTATTCCTTTTGATACACAGTTTTGGTAACCTGTAATTTTCCTGGGGTTTCCTGGAAGGTTTTCTATTCCTGTTGACTTTCTCCTAGCCCAGAGAGTTCATCACATTTATGTTATGCTGCTGTTTCATTTACACATTTCCTTTAACTCCTTTTGAAGCAATCCTTTCTGCGTTGGTTGTTGTAGGTTTTTCGGGCTGTTTAGCCATGTTCTGGAGGTTTTTCTTCCTAACATTTTGCCAGTCTCTGTGGCCGGCATCTTCAGAGGACAGGAGCCAGAATTCTTGTCTGTGCTCTGCCAGAACATGGCCTCCAGAACATGGTCAAACAGCCTGAAAAACCTACAACTTACAACAAACACTACTGAAGTCTCTTTCATTCATCACTTACCTGAAAGGGTTTTCAATCAATAAAGATTGGTTAAGGATCTTTTCATCCAAATAAAGATCAGAAAGTAGAGTTTGATTCTGGTCTCTGACCTGGATTTGCAAGACATGTTCTACAATCTACCATTTCAGCAGTGAAAACCTTCGAGAAAACAATCCCTTCTGCATTTAGACAATTTCCATTTCAGTGCCCAGGAACAGCCTGGACTACAAAAAGACACTTTTATTCCCACTGTATGAACAATTCTGGGACTGTGGACCTTCCTGAATTGGTCTTCATGGAGCTACAGAGAAACGTATGCCTCATATCAGGAGAAGGCATCTGTTTGTTTTCAATTGCTTAGCTTTCTTAGTTTTAATTTTCCTTCCTTCCTTCCTTCCTTCCTTCCTTCCTAAGCCAATAGCATTTGGTACACCCCCACCCTTTTCCCTTCCATTTCTCATTGTTACAAGAGCACCTGCAAATGTGCACAAAGCAAGCAGCCCAAAGCACACCATGAGCTGTGGGACTTTCTAAACCACTGCATGAAGGTTGAAATGCATCAGGAGAAGGTGCCTTTTAACAGAGCATTTGGAAAAGCCTTCAGAGCACCTGGTTTTGTTTCAACAGATATTCATGTGGTCTTTGGCACCTTCCAAACTCCCTAATGTAGCTCAAAGGATACTGACGGATAAGAGGTAGACTTTACATATGTGACCTATAAATGTCAGTACCCAGAATGTGTCCATCTGAGATTGTTTAACAATGTATATGATATTTCTTCCCAGGCTATCCAAGAACCTTCTTGGGATCTTGTGTATTAAGCATCCATCACTCATCACAATATATCTATGAAGTTCTATTCCATTAAGACAGCTATTTCATAAGGCTGCTTAATGTTCAAGGTTTAAAAGACAGCAATTGTACTTTTAAAAGGTTATCCATTTGAAATACCATGCTTCAAGCTTATTAAAAACAAACTATTAGCAGCATCTGAAAATCTAGCTGTGCAAAGACGTGAGATGAATTCCTAGTGCTGAATATTCCACAGTCTCCCACCTTGCTTCTAAGCATAGCAAGAATAAATTGACACTGTTCAGTCTGCACAGAGACAAATGCTTGGAGAAGTTTCAGGGAGCTTGAGAATTAGGCTGTGTTTCTGGAATGTTAAATGTTATTACTCCCCTTTGTAGCTCACAGCTAGACTTTATTATTGCTGTCCTATGGTTTCTTCAGGGAAGAAGGGAGTCAATTCAAATGACCTCCTTGAACCCTGAGCAGGCGAAGCAGACAATGATAGTATTTAACTAATAAATCCAAGTATGCTTACATTATACAAGGCTCTTAGCATTCCACTTCAATTGTTGGTAGTTTTTGCTGGAAACATAGTTTACCCATGAAAACTGATATTTACTTTTGTTAATTGTCCCATTCCATTCTTTAGTGTCTGTATGTAAAAATCTACTGTAGCCAATAAAAATTTTGCATGGATTTTATCAATGCAGACAAAGGCGCATGGCTCTTTTCCATGAATATTCTTAAGCAGACATTAATTAATTAATATTTATACAGTGAGCTGTAGCTGTAGGATGTTATGTTATGAGCTTCAGTATGTTGTAAAAAACACTACTGAAGTCTCTTTCATTCATTACTTGCCTGAAAGGGTTTTCAATCAATAAAGATTGGTTAAGGATCTTTTCATCCAAATAAAGATCAGAAAGTAGAGTTTGATTCTGGTCTCTGACCTGGATTTGCAAGACATGTTCTACAATCTACCCTTTCTGAAGAAATGAACATGGCTGTGCTGGCTATAAAATATTAGTTCTAATAATTTGAATAGTTCTAATAATTAGAACATGCCCAACATACCTCCTTTATAGTGCATCCCTGTTTGGAATGATATCAGTGCTGCTTTGTTTCAGTTCTAATAATTAGGTATCTGCACGAGGGCACACTAATCAGGTTAAAAAGAATTTTCATAGACCATTGTGTTAGTAGTAATCTTTGTAGCTCAAAAACAGGCAGACGTTTAGATGCAGAATCGACTCTCTAATACAAGAAAGGCACCTTCCATTGGTAGAGTAGAACTTGAACCAAGAGGACTGGACTCCATTGGAGAAGGTGTTCATTTGGTTAATCCCTTCTCCTCTCTGAAGCACTGGGCATTCCAGGACAATTTTCTGGAATATCCTCAGTCAGTGTTGAAGAAGGCTATATGGTGGAAAGTGGATGAAAATTGCATCCTCCATTTTTACCTATGGAATCATCTAGTTTTCAGAATTCTACAGTACTTGTATCAAACCCAATTACAAGCCACAAGAAATAATTCATGAATGATGCTGATGACAGTGCATCTATTTTAGCATTTAAAAAAAAAACACCTTGTGATCTCTGCCTAATAAAGAACACAAAGATTATTCCAGTACTGCTGGTCTTTTATATTTCTTTCTTGAGAACAACATCTGGTACCTAACTACCAGTTTAAAAGTAAGTACCGCCCATTCAATCTGATTATGTAGCAACAGCTGCCAGCTTTCCATCCTTTTACAGCATACAATAAAGTCTTTTGGGGCCATTTAATTTTATGGGCTTTTCTTTTCTTTTTCTCTGAGGCACTGTACAGTCTTTGTTCCATCCTAATATGTGATACTTCAGTTGTGTTCCTTTTACAGCTACATTTGTAAAGAAGGAACAAAAGCCTCCCATCTCTCCTGTTCCTGCATATGGGTCCCTTCTTTTGCAGACAAACAGTGCTACTTTGTGATGTGCCATATACAATTCATTGAGACCCAACATACTTTCAGTTTTTTATAAGACAAAGCTGAAAACAGATATATCTGTGACAGGATGTGCCTGATGCACATGGATGCAATTGATTTCCACCCTTTGTACATATTTTTTTAGATTCTTATGGGGATGAATGTAGAAAACCTGGGTGCAGCATGGGAGTCATGTTCTTAGGCTCATGGAGCTTTGGATACTTTGGGAGGATGACATAGTTCCATGGCCACGAGTCCATCCCTGTTTGGAATTACATCAATGATCTCTTTTTTTTTTGTTCTAGTAGGTCCAAAGGTGAGAAAGGAGGTGCAAAGTGGCTTAATATAAGCTATTCTCCAAATCTGGATGAGGGTGTCCTGTTGTCACTCAACCACTATTTCTGATCAACCAGATAGAACAATAAAGCAGGCTAATCTAAAATGGCCAAAATCCTATTGCACATTTACTTGTGCATAAGAACTGTGGAAGTTGCATCAACTAATTGGCAAAGCTCTGGGTATATATGCAAGGTGCACAATCAGGATTGGGACTGATGTGCAATCAAAATCTGACCAGTTTAGTTGCAGCAAATTCTGCAGTTCATCGTGTGTGCACAAATATCCAACACCATTCTGGCTATGGTTGACACAGTTTCAAGTAGACATGACTGAAGTTTTGACAGCATGTGGGTTTAGTGCAGGCTTCTCAAACTCAATTTACCTGGGGGCCGCTGGAGGCAGAGTCTGGGTGAGGCTGGGCCACATCAGATTTTGTGCCAAGCGGAGCAAGAGCCCAAGGAAGCTGCCCAGAAGCTTCCTTAGCCGGTAGACAGGCAGG